AATTACCATATCTGTAAAAAAAAAAAAGGTCTACCGCAACTTTGAAAAAACGCTGCAAAAGGGGTCTATCGTAACGTTTAAAAAACGCTGCAAAAGGATCTTACCGCAACGTTGAAAAAACGTTGCAAAAGACCTTTTTTGCAGCGTTTTTTTAAACGCTGCAAAAGACCTTTTTTGCAGCGTTTTTTCAACGTTGCGGTAAGATCCTTTTGTAGCGTTTTTTAAACGTTGCCGTATCTCTTCCCTCTTTAACAATACTGAACTTTGCAACACATGATAAAACGTTGCAAAAGGCCTTTTGCAACGTTTTTTGACTGCTGCAAAAGGCCTTTTTTGGCTTAGTGCCTTGAGGTATGTTTGCCTTCCATAACGCTGCAAAAGGCATTTTTTGGCGTAGTTCCTTGAGGTATGTTTGCCTTCCATTTTCTTGTTGATTCCTACCAATTATTTAATGTTAAATTGAAAATTGAATTATGTAAGTTAGTAAACATATACATGGAATTAAAGATAATGAAGCGACAGATATCCTTGAATAGAAAATGCAGAATTAAACTTTTTATTATGGTATGTTTGTCCTCGGTTTTCTTACTAATTCCTGCCAATTATTTAAGGTAGATTCAGTTTTTAAATGTGCAATTGTTACCAACTATGGGTTTATTTGCAACTCAATCTTCCTTTTAATCATGTGGTTAATTTTATCGAAGCATTTGAACAAGTAGGCAGGGAACCACGCTGCACATTGGGCAAGAGAAGTGATATAAACATCGAGAAGATTAAATAGTCTAATTTGTCTTTGCTATGGCCATTGCTCACTTGTGACTTGGTCAGGAAGTTTAAAACTATTAAAATGAAAAGGTGTGGCAGGAAAATATTTAATTAGCTTGGATTTTGGTGAATCTCATAGAGCAATACATTATACATATTGGGTGCAATTTCTTGTTGAGAAAGCAATACATTAGTAAACATATTTGGATTGAATAAATGCAGAGAGTAATGACCGATCCTAGCAATACATTATATTTGCATTGAATAAATGCAGAAAGAAATAGCAATACATTATACATATTTGCATTGAATAAATGTAGAGAGAAATTACCGATTAGAGGAAGCATACAAAATCTTGAAAATTCTTCAACCAGATATTCAGAATTTAGTATGGGATTAATACTGAAAAGTAAAATTGAACTTCAGAAATTGCTAAGGGTCAAGTTTTTGAGGAGAGAGGAGAGTAGAGTGAGGAATGTATGTGGGAGTAGATTGAGAAATGTGTGTGGGCAAGAAGAAGTGAAAATGGAGGATTGAAAAGGCATGGCCGGATGATGTATAAAAATGGAGGAATGAACAGTAAACGGGCTTGGTTAAGACAAACTAAAGACGAAGTTGTTTGTAGCATGAGTGATGTAGATATCATGTTTTACATACATCTTGTCAACTTAATTTAATATATTAATATAAGTAAAAACAGTGCACATAGGGTGTGTATTAAAAAAAAAACTGTGGAATACACTCTCTGCGCTGACGCAGAGAATGCATTTCACAATTTTTTTTCTCTTTTTTGTTTTAACTCGATAACACATATCTTAATATTTTTGTCACTTGAAACCCAAAATAGTAATATAAGCAACTAGTTACTTTTCTTTCTACATAATTGCTACCTTGTGCTACAAACTTAACTGGTAAAACTTTCCCTCTTGTAATTCAGTTGCTAGTACAATTTCAACATCTTGGATAATAGACAGTTGAGAAATTTTCATCTGCTGTTAAGAAAGTTGGTTTTGTCCAATCTCATGCTGATCCTTGTTTGTTTATGAAGTCCTATAATTCTCATTTTACAGTCTTTGTCTACGTTGATGATATCATAATAGCTGGCAATGATCATCCATCTATCACGGTTTCGTTGATCTATCATTTCCTTTTATTTCCATCCTAATTTAGCTGTAGTGTTGTACATATATATTTACACCAGAGTACATTCACAAAGTAATGAGAATACAAGTATTCATTCATAATTTGACAATATAAACAATGATCGAATGGCAACAAGTCCACAATTCCATAAACCCCTAATTATGTCAATAGTGGAAGCAGAAGTGGAGTAATCACAATTTCAGAAATTATTCATGACTGAACAAAAATGCATACCAAGTAGGCATCAAATTTGCAGCAATGAACAGCCAATATTCGGTGGAACTTAGATTCTTCGTCCCAAGCTTCCTCACCACCAATGAAGCAACCACGGAAGAAATTGCAAACGATACGTACAATATTCCCAATGATATGGTACCCAAACCTTTTTCCTAGGAAAACCCAAGAAAAAATTATCAGAAATAATGAGCAAGTCCTTTGTGAGGAAGGGAATTGGAACCAAAAACACCAGAAATTATTAGCTGGTTGAATAATATTCGGAATATTATCAAGTCTTTAGTTGCAAAAAAAGCTTATTACAGTAGCTGGGATTTGCAATAGAACTAAAGAGTAAATTAGATTTGAAAGATGTTGATAAATATGATAGTTGAAAGGTGAGAAATTTTAAGACTTCAATGCATTACAGGGCTTTCTNTAGATTTGAAAGATGTTGAAAAATATGATAGTGGAAATGTAAGAAATTTTAAGACTTTGATTCATTACAGGGCTTTCTTGGACATAATTTTTAGTTTATTATGTCAGACTATTAACATTGGGTCAAAGCAATTGGGTTGATTCTTAACGTAAAAATTTTGTAGTCATGCCATTGTTTGCAATTCCAATTCAATCATCTTATTTTTGTGTAATGGATATACAATAAAGTGGTATACCTGCTTTGATGTCTCCTTTGTAAGTGTTATGTTGTGTATCTCCATTTAAAAACTATTCAATATAAATTTTTTGTTGTGAATTTAATGATGAGATTTCTAGCTTGCAGATAAAAACTACACAAATTAAGAGAAAAAGGCTAAACCAGAACACCAAGATCATGTTGAACAGGAGAAGTTCACTTCGAAACCCAAGAAAATGGGGAGGGAGATTGATGACATATTTGCTGGAAAGAAGATGAAGAACTCTTTACAAGCTAACTCAAACGAGAGGAAGAATCAACAGAGAATAGCTTACAACAGCATAATTTCTATAGTCATAACTTTCCCAGTACCACCAGGTGTTTCTCGATGCATTTCAGTCTGACCAATTAAATGTATTGGTGCCAAACCTTCCTGGTGAAAGAGTAAACACACAGTAATTGGGAGACATCAAAAAGTATGTAGTAGAAACTTATATAGAAATTGCAAAGGCGGTATGCTATTGATCAAAGAAGGAATAGTTGCCAGATAAGGTTATTTGAAAACACAAAAATGACATGAGGTCCTAGAAAACATTAGCAGTTACATTTAAGAGGCCAAAATATATTTTATCAACACCATTGATTTAAAACAAAATAAGTTCCACTTGGTCTATAGTAGATATTAAGACAAGCTTTGATTAAGATTGGAGGGCCATACCAAACAATCTGTTCTTTGATTAAATGCAACACTAGAACAAGCAATAACTAAGTAATTTTAACTTAAAGAAAGCGTCAAATGTTTGTGAACAGTAACATAAATCCTATGCCTCCATTCGAGTAACATAATTTCATTTGTCTCTTTTAGTTCGTACTATTATATGCTTTTGGCTATTTTTCTGTATATTTAAGAATATGATTGCAAGATCTTCTTTTTGCTTGTTTATGAATTATATTACTTCCCATTCAATGATCAAACATCCTCAAAATCTAACATTATTGCAACATTTTGCCATTCATGAATATTTGGGTAGACTACAGGGTGAAAGTTTGGAAAAGCAGTTGAAGCAAAGTTAATTGAAATTTATCAAAATCAATTTTTGAGCCCTATCATGCCAACAATTCAAGTGGGAACAACATCAAGGCTGAGCAGGCATGTGAGATACAACTATTGTACCTTGAAATAGTTTCCCACAGGCGATACATAAATCAAAAAGGTGTATTAAGGTGCTGGTGCAAGTCCTAGAACAGCTCCACTCCCAATTAGGAATGATCTTATATATAAAGAACCTTTATCTGGTGGGGGAATCTGAAATAAGATAACAACATAAAATGACTCAGTTGTTTAAACACCACTGCACAAAAATAAATAAATAAATACAATCTTAACTGAAATGATAAACTGTCAGATTACCCATCTTTCATTTGCTAAAACAGTTTCTTTTACAGCGTTCACATACTGTTCGACAGTAGGAGAAGGCATGTACATACGCTCAACACCCATCCTTAATCGGAAAGCATTTTCCTTGGGTCGAAAGAGTAAAACATTGCCATCATATTTCCGATATTTGTGTTCAATGAGTATTATCCTTGTCATAGTTTCTTAAAATTTTCAATTGGAAGGCTATTCCAAAGGTGGACATTTGACATGAGCATAAGCATGAAGGACAATTAATTTCATATGTTACATTTTCTGTTTGTAACTGTGGGAGTCTCTTTAGCTTTGTTGTTCAGTACGAATCCAATAAGCTGTAACATATGTTTCGAGCAGTTTTTTGCGTAAATATGGTTA